CAGCTAAACACATATTTTTTTTCTTCAATAAAACCCAGCATGACACCTGGCTGCATGAGATCCAATCAATTAGTAGAGATAAAAGGAAAACTTTTCTTTTGATTCTTAATTTTTTTTAGATTTTATTTTATTATTTGAGAGTCAGAGTTATAGAAAGAGAGGAAGAGACCGAGAGAGAGGTCTTCTATCCATTGGTTCATTCCCCCGATGGCCACAATAGCCAAAGCTTAGCCAAACTGAAGCCAGGAGCCAGGAGCTTCTTCTGGGTCTTCCACTTGGGTGCAGGGGCCTAAGTACTTGGTCCATCTTCCACTGTTTTCAATGGCCATTAGCAAGGAGTTGGATTGGAAGTGGAGCAGCTGAGACTCACCCACATGGGATGCTGGCTCCACATGCAGAGTTTCAAACTACTATGCCACAGTGCTGGCCCTGATTTCTTAATTTTGACACATGTGAAGTTTGGTGTCTCTTAAAAAAACCTTTTCTCAGAAGACTGGTCATTTTAACATACACCATATCTGTGATCTAATCATGTATCTACAGTAAAATGTATTAGCATTTTATATAGCATTTATAATAATACCTTTTCTGGATTCTGAATTTTGTTCATTTGAACACTTAAAATGAGTTCAAATTCAACAGTGGAAATATCTGATAGAAAAATGTTAATGAAAAATATTACTTCAGTAGCAGACTTCTGGAAACGTTGTACTAGAGTTTCCCAGAGGATTTCATGTATAGATTATTTAAATAATAGTCTTTTTTTTTTTTTTTTGGACAGGCAGAGTTAGACAGTGAGAGAGAGAGAGAGACAGAGAGAAAGGTCTTCCTTCCGTTGGTTCACCCCACAAATGGCCACTACGGCCGGCGCACTACACCAATCCAAAGCCAGGAGCCAGGTGCTTTCTCCTGGTCTCCCATGCCACTGCAGGGCCCAAGCACTTGGGCCATCCTCCACTTCCTTCCCGGGCCACAGCAGAGAGCTGGACTGGAAGAGGAGCAACCAGGACAGAATCTGGCGCCCCAACCGGGACTAGAACCCAGGGTGCCAGCACCACAGGCGGAGGATTAGCCAAGTGAGCCACGGCACCGGCCTAAATAATAGAGTCTTTAGAAATACTCTCCGTATACCTCTGAATATGAAACTAGTTTATTCAGTTGCCTGATTCAAACAATAACATATAACAGCATGAATATATATGTGATAGCCTGATTTCACACAATTGCTTTAATAATAATAAACAGGCTTTGCATAAGTGGGATATGCTAATTTTATTGTCTCTGATACACAGAAGCAGAAATCTAGGTTTGTATTCTTTTTACAGGGCTATAATTTTAAACCCTACAAGACACAAAGTAAATAGATAAATAAGTAAATAAGTAAACAAACACTACAAGATTAGCTACATAAAGACTAACTTTAGACACGTATGACTACTACTCCCCTCATACACACACACACACACACAAATCACTATAATTTTAAGTCTACTTTATTGATGTATAATTTTACATGCAATAAAATCATCTGCTATAATTACACAACTTGACAAATTCTGACAAATATATATAGTTGGATGCATCACTGAAGTCAATATGTGGAATACAGCCATTAATCCAGAAAGTTTTCTCATGCTCCTATGCAGTCAATCCTTTCCCCTCACCCCAGCGCTGACTACCTGTTTACTTCCTTTTGCTTACCATAATGCTTTTGAGATCCCTCCATCTTACATCTCTCAGCAGGCAGTTCTTTTGGTTGAGTAGTCCTCCATTTTTTGAGTATATCAAATTTGCTTATCTTTTCCCAAGTTGATGGACATAAGGGTCATTTCCATTTTTAGCTATTATGAACAAAGCTACTAAGAACATTTGTGTAAAGATCTTTTTGACTTTTTTTCACCTTATTTATAAGGCAGATAAAGAGCAAAAGGGCTCCCATCTACTGTTTCAATTCCCAGATGCCTGCAACAGCCAGGACTGAGCCAATTTGAAGCTAGGAGCCTGGAACTCCAATCTGGTTCTGCCATGTGAGTGGCAGCGACCCAAAGTATTTAAGCCATCATTGGATGCTTCCCATAGTGCACATTAGCAGAAAGCTGAATAGAAAGCAGAGGTGTGGGGACTCAAACCAGCCATTCTGTATGGGATGCAGTGTCCCAAGCTGCAACTTTTACTGCACCCAACACATGCCCTGGGTGTAAAGACCTTTGCACAGACACATATTTTCATTTTCCTTGGGTGAATACCTAGAAATGGGACAGCCAGGGCATATAGTAAGTATATATTTAAGTCTGCAACAAATACTACAAAAGTAGCTATGATAAGTTTTAAATTCTACGAAGAACGCATGGTATTTCTACTTGTTCCAAATCTTTAGTCACACTTGGTAGTAGTCTTTTAATTAATTCATGATTGTAAATGCCTAGTGGTATCTAATTTGTAATTTTAACTTGCATTTCCTAGGGATTAATGATGTTGATCAAAATTTCATTTGTTTATTGATCATTCACATTTGTTCTTTGGTGAAGTATCTTACAATAGTTTTATTCAGTTTTTACTGGAATTGTCACCTTTTATGTTGAGTAATATATTCTGATTACAAGTTCTTTTTCAGATATGTTTTATAAATATTTCCTCCAGGCATGTGATTTCCTTTTTAATTTCCTAGATATCTTTAGAAGAACCAAATTGTACATTTTTGTGAATTTAAAATTACCATTTTTCTTTTATGTTTCATCCTAAGAAATCTCTGGTTATGAAAATTTTCTACATGATTTTTCCTGTTTTCTTCCAGTAGTTTTATATAGCTCTTTAGTTTATGTCGGTTATACACTTCAAGTTAATTTATACATACAATGTGAAGTAATGGTCAATGTTTATTTCTTTCTAGATTTCCAGTTTTTTGCCTTTTTTTATTTGACAGTTACAGAGGGAGGGAGGGAGAGAGAGAGAGGGAGGGAGGGAGGGGGAGAGAGAAAGAAAGAGAGAGATCTTCTGTCCACTGATTTACCTACCAAAATGGCCACAATGGCTAGGGCTGGACCAGATGGAAGCCAGGAACTTCTTCATGATCTCCGAAGTGGGTGCAGGGATCCGAGCACTTGGGCCCTCTTCAGCTGCCCTCCCAGGCACACTAGCAGAGAGCTGGATTGGAAGTGGAGCAGCTGGAACCTGAACTGCACCCATTTTGGATCCTGGCATTGCAGGCAGCAGCTTAACCTGCTACACCACAGCACCATCCCCTAGATATTCAGTTTATCCACTGTATTTGTTTAAAAGATAATCCTTTCTCATTGAATTACCTTTGCACTTATCTTTTGAAAATCAGTAGTAGACCATAGATGTGTAGCTAGCTCTGGACTCTATTTTGTTCTATTGATCCTTTGGCCCAATAATGCCAATACCACACTGCTATGATTATTGTACACATTATAGTAGATCTTGAGTGAAATTAAGTAAGATCTTCAAATTTCTCCTTTGTTTTCAGATTGTTTTAGCTTGGCTAAGTCTTTTACATGCCCATATACATTTTAATCATTTTAAATTTCTACCAAAAAGAAAAGAATTCATTGCAGTGTTGATTGAAATCATACTGAATCTATAGATAAATTTGGAGAGAGATGATATATTGAAAATATTCACTATTTTGATTTATAAATATGGTATTGCTCCCCATTTTTGTTTAGGTCTTTTATAATTTCTCTTACAATGTTTTGGAGTTTTCAGTGTGCAGGGTTTGCAGAAGTTTATTGTTATTTTTACCCCTAAGTGAACCAACGGCAAAGGAAGACCCTTCTCTCTGTCTCTCTCTCTCACTGTCCACTCTGCCTGTCAAAAAAAAAAAAAAAATTTACCCCTAAGTATCTCTTGTTTGTATGTGAATTTGAATGTGTTTTAAATTTCCCACTGTTCATTGTTCATACTGCGATTTTAGACAAAATGTTGGAAGTAACCTTCAGAAAAGTTATACAGATTAAAGATAAAATAAAGGGATCATAAATGACAGTTCTTACTAATGTTGAATATAGACAGTAGAATCACTGAATAACAAAAGCACTGTTAAAGAATTATCACTTGTATTACTTTTACTTTTACTTTAAAACTAAGAATGAAAATTCGTGCTTTATTTACAATGACTAATAATATAAACATATCTAACAATCATTGAAGAAAAGGCTCTAAACTTAGTCATGAAGCCTAAACTTGAGTAATGACCTGAATAAATAAAAATTATGTAATCCAAGATAGATAAGTCTTGACAAAACATTTCTTCTTATTCATTTTATATTCAACTAGTTTTAATGAATGTTCACAAGACCAAACACTATGCTAAGTGCTATGAAATGGGAAGAATACTATACACCATATCCTTCAGGGATTATAACAGACTCAAATGACAGTTACATGAAATATTTTGGCAAATTAAGTTATAAATTTAACATGTTATTCTTTTTATTATAATTATAGCAGGTAAATCCCATTTATAGGTACTAATACTTTAACAGGGAGTTCAATAAGAAAAATAAGGAAATAACTATGGAAAAATATTAAATGTGTGATAGCTAGAGAATCCTAAAAGTAATCACTCCATTGGACACCTTTTTCATTACCTTGTAGTTATATCGTGTAAGTACTATTTAAAACCATAGGCATGAACAAAAACTGACTTGTCATTTAAGCCCTATAAAGGAAAATATTGGGTTTAAGATTTATGAATTTTTCCTTCCAGATAAAGAAGCTGGCCTCATTAATTTCTATTAATAGGAGACCTTCCGTTGACAATTTTTCTATTAGCAAACTGGCAAACTTACAAGTATGACAGATGGACTGAGAAATCAAAAGTATGCCAGAAGATTATATAGGGATACAGTAAAAAAAAAAATCAGTTATTTTGGTTCCTAGATTGAGATCTAAATTTTAAAAATTAATTTATTGGTTATTTTAGCTTATAAATTGCTTAAAACACTTTTTGGGTTTTTAAAAATTTTTTATTCTTTTAGGTTTGATTCTCATAAAGGTTTCTGGTGTCAGTTATTGGAAGAAGGTAAAACAAAATGCCTTGGAAAGAGCAAAGGAAGAAAATACCCTCCAATGGATTCTGATGTAAGTATAGAATTTAAAAATACAAAGTGAATAAGAAAAATGATAAAAAATACTATGTCCTTTTGTTAAGAAAAGGGACTAAAGTCAAAAGTCAACCTTTCTAACATTAAAAGTGACATGTGGGTTTCAGTACATCTAGGTAGCTTTTTTAGATTTTTCTAGTGATTTATTACTACCTGTCATGTAAGAATAAAGGAAAACAATAAAATTTTCTATTCTGAATCATAACAAAAAAGATTAACAATTCATTCTAAAAAGAATAGCTGCACAGAAATTTTAGCACATTTAAAAATGTTACTTGTAATCAAGATAGGAAATATATAAACTGAAAATAGAACCAAAAGACTTCTTTTTTTCCCCACTGCGAAAGTCATTGTGCAGTGGCCTGGTGATAATATAGAAACTGATATAATATACTAACCTTGGAACTGATAGCATACTATAAAATGAGAGAATTAATGTATTTTCCAAATGTCTGACATTCTAGCAGATAATTTAGATTTTGGGGAATAGAGATATACATACTTTGTGGTATTTAGTTAGCACAGCATGCTTATTCCATCTAGAATGATGATATGGCAATCACTTAATGCTATAGTTTCCTCAGTGTAATCTGTATTTTTACCTTGATCTTCATTTTACATAAAGATTTGTTAGTAATTTTTATTTGATAATCAGCCTGATATATATGTATGTAGTTTGCACATAAGAATGCAAGTATGTTATAATTTATAATTGTGTTTAGAACTCAAAAAATTAAAATAGATTTTGGTGTCCTACCCCTAACATTGTTTAATATATTTTAATATATCATGTTAACTGGGAATTGTAGAGTGGACTGAGAATTCTAAGGTGATCTGACTTATTTGAATACTTTTATCTAACAAGGCCTACTATTTTTTGTGCCAGTCCTAATGAAGACAAGGCCTGGGCTTAGTAAGTTCCTAATTAAACTCACTATAGAAAGCATTGGGGGCTGGTCTTCTACTATTCTAATAAACAAACTGCATTCTCAGAGAACTCTAGTTTTCTTTCCTTGATTATTAAAATATGCCTTCAGAGTACTAAGAAAATAATCCTAACTTATTAAAAGAAACTGAAGGGCAATTTCTATAGTATTTCAAAAAAGTATTATAAAATATATTCTTATCATGTATGTCAAAGTCATTTTTTTAATGTTTATTGGAGCTAAAATGTTTAAAAGACACTGTGGAATATTAGTATTTTATTTTACTTTAATCCAACATGGACATACTGAGATATAAATTTGGTTGTAGAGAAAAATAAAAACAACTTTTTAGGATATCAATTCTAGATGGCTTACCAAGTTTACTATTTAATACATACTAGATTTATTTGAAGGAGTAAAGTGGCTGATTTCATACAAGTAGTGTCCAGAGAGGAGGCAAGACTAAAAAAAGCCTTCACAGAGGTAATGGAAATAAATAAAAAATGTGTGGGACACAGTAGTAGACAGTACTGTTGCCACACTGCTTGCTTCTCCTCCTGCTGAAGAAAAATGCCAATACCCCTCCTCAAGTCTGTCGGCAAAATATCCCAAGTTGTGCTAAATAAGCAATCCACATGCTTAATAAAGATTTTAATACAGATCTGGTATACTTGATACTTTATTTAGACAAAAATAAAATGTGCTTTTTTCTCTTCCCACTCAGAGCAGAGCATTTCTGTCAAGCTACTATCGAGATCACAACGTGGAACTCTCAAAGCTGCTGCACAAACTGGGGCAGCCTCTGCCTTCCTGGCTGAGACAGGAGCTGCAGAAAGTGAGATAGCATTGAGAGAAAATTCCTGAGAATTCACCTTCCACATTACATGCACTTTTTCCAAAGCTTCCAGAAGCTACCAAAATGCTGTTGAAAAATATACCTCTTCAAATGAGAAAAAAGAACAGTACCTTCCATATGCTGGCATGTGGATTAGAAAAGAAAAGAAAACAAAAAAGTACCTGTTGAAAGCCTTGAGGTCTATGGCCTTCCTCTTAACCCATATCTGAGCCTGTGGGATTATTGTAGACTACTGTACATTCTTGTGGAAGTCAACAGCAACCAACAAAAACATGAACCACAAATGCAGAACTGTTCCATTCTATAGTAATATTTACACTTTTATATATCAACTAAGATTGTGTCTCTGTAGATTTTATAGACCACTATTTGCCTGTACAATGTTTTCTTATCCTTTGATTCTATAGTGTCCTATAAAACAAGAAACAAAATAAACATCACAGTGTAGCATAAAATGCCAAAAGCATAACATCCATAAAAAATGCTTGCCAAAATTTCAATCCACTGAGTATTTAGAAAGCATTGTAATTATAATTTGTGCTAGATTAGAGAGTGAAAATGTTATATGTCAGCTTTATCTGCATCAGAAAAAGATAAGTATTATAACAAAAAACTGATATTTTTCATATCCATAGTCTAGTACATACATTTATGTAAAAAATTATTAACTCCATCATAATCTATTGTATTGAACATACATTTTAAAACTGTTGGGTGATAAACAGAAATTCACTGAATATATCAAAACAGTAAATAACAATGTAAAATTTATTGACAATCCTCTAAAAATAAGAAATTGTAGGGTTCTAAAGATACATCATTGAGAACTCTCCATTCATTTGCTATAAACTGCAAATTTATTGTAGTAGTCCTCACTAGTTCTACAAAATTGCATGCATAAAGTCTGACATACCTGTGTCATCTCCAGAGACAGATTGACTTCTGACTGTGAATAGCTTTTTTTTAAATGATCCCTAGATGATGTGTATTTACATTAACTTATTTAGAAATTACATTTTCCAGGTAGTTCCGAATACAATTGTGTAGAGATTTATAATGAAAAACAAATTAATATATGATTTTTAATCTGATATTTACAATGGTACTTTTGATATAAGGCAAAGAAAAATAAACATGGCAGAATTCCATTTTTGAGACTATTTCATACATCATCCTCATGGAAGATAATAGAACATAGTTAAATTTATGGTTTGCCTACTAAACTAAATGCAAGAAGTACAAAGATGAGCAAGGCATGGTTCTTGAAATAGTTACACTTAAATTTTAAATGGTGTATATAATGAACAAAGTACTCAGAAAAGGGTAAGACATTACTTATTTTCCTGTATTGTTTACTTAATTTTTAAATGTATATATACATAAAACTTAAGTAGTAAATAAATTCCCTACTATGATTAAATAAACCTTTATAAAATACTATCAAGACATGATTTTAAAAATTCAAGGAAAATCTATAGCCCAAATATTAACATTGTCATAACATGTAAAACTAAACTCTACCAATTATTCACTAATTATAAACAAAAATTTGAGTTTCTTCCACTTACTGAATATCTTAATGCATATTACAATTATTAGTTGTGTTTTTTAAGTTTTATGTACCCAAAAAATAAGCTGATCTTTAAACCAATTGTTAGCAGGAAGAATTGGACAAAGGATCAATTTTTAAAACACTTGACTATAAAAAAACTGTTTTCTTACTTATTGCTGCCTCTTTTGAAGCAAAGCATTCTAGGAAAATTATCACTCTTTCATCTCCACTAACTTGCAAAAATGGTTTAAGAGAGTCAAACATACTGCAGATAGGCTCCAGCAGTTACATGCATTGTCATGTTTCATTTAGCAACACCATTCCTGCTGATAAAAATGAAAGGGAAAGTGATATATTTATGCTTTAGTAATGAGATGCATATTTAAACTTCCAAACAAAGCTGCTAATGGCATAACTTTGCCTAGATGAACTGGGTTGACTGAATAGCTCACTCTTCAAAATAAATGTCAAAAACAAACACAATGCTTATATAATTAAAGGAGAAAAAATAAGAGATAATACCACAATTAACTCAATCACAAGTACATATATTATGCTATTAGAATTACAAACCGTTGAAAGAATTTTGACTAGTCAGTATAATTCGGAGACAACATCAGATTATAGAAAACATGCATATTTTCCACAATATATATTCCAACTGATCATTATGCTGTTCTGAAAATAGCATAAATATAAATGAGAAAAGAAAGAGAGGTAATGTGATTTAAAACTTGCATTGTATAGAATTCCCTTTTTCATTGCTTAAAATATGAAGCTTCCTCAGGAAGAAATGAAATGGTTGTTTCAATGTTTATAGTTATAATATTCTTGTCATTCACATTGAATGAAAATTACTGGAAACATTTTTTTCTCTGAGTTTTTTAAAATAAAAAACCTGGATATAATTCTGATAGTAGCATGGTACCTCATATGTACAACAATAAACTCTGACAAGAAAACAAAGAATTTGATCCTGATGATTGGACAATAAGTAGGTATTTGGTTGGTTTTGCCTGGGAGTGAATGGAAAGTAGTTATAGAATGTAGATACCACTAATCTATTTCAAAATGGAGAGATGTATGGAAAGCTATAACTTTTCATAGATCCTTCTCCTAAACTTAGGTGCTAATTACACTGATTTTTTTTCCAGTTGTAATAAATATAAAGCAACTCCTGGGTCACTCATGGGACCCTATAATAAGAGATTAAAGAGAACCACACAATTGTTACTTAAGACTTGAGGGCCTGATTTTAGCATGTCTTACTCATAGCACCCTGTTTTGCTCCATACACATAAATGCACCCCTTTCTTTCTCTAGAACTTTAAAAGGTGTTAACTGTCCCCCCTTCATAAAAAATCTAGCGAAAGAATCTCTGCCCAAAAAAAAAAAAAAAAAAAAAAATGAGGGAGAGTGGGGAGTTAGACATTTTTCTTCATTATCCACAAAATTTATTTTCTCTATCCTAATCACTTGTTTTTTTCTCAACATCAGGTTTTCTCATATTTCAACCCACCCTGTCTGGATGCACCAAGTGAATTCCCCATAGGCTCGTCTCTCCCACACACAATGCTCCAATCTGTGTCCTTTCCAAATACACTATCTTATGTTCCATCTATTCCAGGATCAGTTGGTGACCTGTTAATCAGTGTTTGTGGATTATAATGATTTCTAAATATTATGCTTTCCAGAAATAACATCCCTGCAGTTTCTAGGAGATGCATTTTAGCACCCAACAAATAACTATAATGGCACTGAACTGGTCAGCTTTTGATGTGAAGTTTTTTGCTAATTTTACTTAATATTATTGGATATTTTATATATATGTATATATATTATATATATTATAGTAAAGTTCTGCCAAAGCTGACTGTTCTTCATTATTACCTATACATAACTGTTGCTTTCTTCCTGCCTCTACCTCCTCTTAAAATACATACATTTCCATCTCTAAACAGTTACTAGTCATGGTAGGGGTAATTAATCCTTTGTAGTTGAGTTCTTAAATTATATCTGGGTTGGCTTGGAATGTTAACATCTTTTCACTTACTTTACCTAGGAGCAGACTCAATTTCACAGTAAAGGCTCTCCATATTCAATAGGAGTTAGACATTAGTCTATGTGTGAATGGGCCCAAGGAAAACAGGAACTTCATGCAGTTAAATGAGGAAAGGAAAGTAGAAGACTTAGAAGCATGCCTTGAAAATAACTGACATTTACACACCAAAAGTCCTACCTAAGTCTGATAACCTTGTAGGGAGGTCTGTACTCCCAGAGACATCCCAGGGAAACCTTCCCAGCCCAGTGGCAAGAGAGCTATTTGGTTCAATAACAGTACACTCAAAATCCCTGGAGGAATTTCATGAATTCCATGCCCAGAAAGCCCTCTGACCAGCTTATCTGAAGAAAGGGGGTGGAGGACCACAGGAGAAACCGTGGGAAAAGGTGTACCCATACCCAAAAAACTTCAGTCTGAATGCAGACCGCTCAGTTCTTTGCTGAGCTGCCCACCTGGCCTGACAGGTGCAGCCTCTTCATTAAACATTGCTAGCTTGCTTACTACCAATCTCTGTCTCATATCTGAATTTCTTTTCTCATGGATAAAACCTTTGTTCTAGCCATCTCTGATAACATACAGAGAAAGAGAAATAAAACATGGAGATTATGTGTGTATAATTTATAATACAGAAATAATTTATTATAGGTTATTAGCTCATGTGAGTTTAGAGGGTGAGAAGGCCCACAACCTACCATCTGCATTCTGAAGATACATGAAAGCCAGTGATGTAGGTCAAAGACTTGAGAGCCAGAGAGTCAGTGGTGGAGATTTCAGTCTGGGTTCGTAGCCTAAGAATCTTGAGCACCAGTACAGGAAAATAATATTGCAGTACCAGCAGCCATGCACAGTTAATTTGACTTTCCTCCACTCTTGTTCTATTCAAGCCTTCAACAGATAGCTGATGCTCATGGAGGGGACCATTTGCATTACTTAGCCACCAATTCAAATCTTAATCTTACCCAGAAACACCCCCACAGAAATGTTTAGCCATCCAGGCATCCTGTGGCCCATTCAAATTGACAAATAAAATAAACCATCACATTTACTTAGTAATTCCTTTCAAAGAAATCAAAGTAAATTTCACAAATTAAATGCTCACAGTGTAAGGTTTCGAAAATGTTGTTGAGAAGAAGATATTTGCCCACATTTTGCCATACAGAAAACTGAATTAAAATGAGTGAAATGTGAGACATTTCCAAAGCATACAGAATCTGTGACAAATCTTACATATAACTCTACATCAAACTGCTTTTTGGTTAAGAGCAAATAAATTAATGTAGGAAATGCCTGCTGTCTACATTTCTGATGCCAAAATGCTCTATTTCAAATCAATAACTGAAATGGAAACCAGTTCTTGCTCTTAAATATTGTGCATAATTTATACAGTTGAACCAGAGAAGATGAATCTTTTTTTTCCTATTTGGTAAATAATACTCTCAATCTGAACTTTTTTTTCAGCTTCAGCCACTTTAAACAGAAACAGAAGTTCAAAATGCTACATACTCCTAGTACTTTGGTGTATCATGAAATAATTTATGTTCTTCAAAGCAAATAAAATGTTTAAGTCCACAAAACAAATATACTATCAACAATAAAGTTTACTTCACATACAAATGAATAAATTGGCAAATTTAAAAGAATTTGGATTATAATTTTAAAAATAATAAAAATATGAAACATGGTATCCTTAAATTCTCCTACCTACAAATCACCTTGATAAAACCATATTGTTTCTATCCCCAACTAATTACAGAAAGTTCTCTGTACAATTAGAATACCAGAGATCAATTCTGCTAGTCTTAACATCTCTTCTTATTCAAGCAACATAGGGTAGGTTGCATTTTGGACTTCGATCTTTCCACCTGTCAATCGAAATTAAATGTGATCTTTGGTGAAGAGAGGATACTGTTTTTCCCTTGCTTTATCTTACTATATAGGGATAAATCAGTTATTGTAATTCTCTTTCACCTACTCTGCCACAAAATGTATATGGGCCAAAGTATCTTAATCTTTATTCCATGTTCTTGCCCCTACAGAAATAAGAATCAAAGCAAAGGAATATACAGTGCACAAGTGAGAACAGGATTTATTTAAAAGATGGGGATTGGCCGTCGCCACGGCTCACTAGGCTAATCCTCCGCCTTGCGGCGCCAGCACCCCGGGTTCTAGTCCCGGTCGGGGAGCCAGATTCTGTCCCGATTGCTCCTCTTCCAGGCCAGCTCTGTGCTATGGCCCGGGAGTGCAGTGGAGGACGGCCCAAGTGCTTGGGCCCTGCACCCCATGGGAGACCAGGATAAGTACCTGGCTCCTGCCATCAGATCAGTGCGGTGCGCCGGCTGCAGTGTGCCAGCCGCGGCGGCCATTGGAGGGTGAACCAATGGCAAAGGAAGACCTTTCTCTGTCTCTCTCTCTCACTGTCCACTCTGCCTGCCCAAAAAAAAAAAAAAAAAAAAAAAAGAGAGAGAGGGAATGAATATAAATTGTTGTATGAGTGTAGGCCACCCCCATAAGAGATACCCATCATGAATGGGCCAGATAATTGTCTATAAGAGAACCATCTCCTGTGAGAGTTTTAATTTGTGTGAGGCCCTCTGGGGGCTTCACAGTGTTTCCAAATGGAGTTTAACTTCCACAAGGTTAACAAGATGTCTCTTCCTTTCTAATCCCAGAGACACAAGTGCATCATTGGAAAGTGAGTATACTGTATATATAGTTAAGGGTATAGAGTTATAATGAAGGGCTGACAGAAGTTGTAATTCCAGGTCATAATTCCAGCTCACCTATTCCTACCTAATTTTCCCACCTAGTTTCTTCAAATCAAAGGGGAGAGGCTTCAGTTAACCTAAATGGTAAAATTGTAAGCAGAAATGAAGCTTGAATAGCTCAACCTTTCTCCATGACTTCATTTTTCTTTGTTTTACTACTATTATTATAATTGTACATATTAATGGGGAAGAATGTGACAAATCAACACATGTATTCAATGTGTGAAGATCAAATCAGGTCATTTAGCATTTCCATCTCCAAGTATTATTAAAAGTCTTTTTGGATTAATAATAATTGTACATACATATGGGGTACAGTGTGACATTTCAATAAATGTTTACAACATGTCCTGATCAAATGAGGGTAATTAATGTGTCCATCTCTTTGCCATTACTTTATGCTTAGAGCCTTTAAGTTCATCTCTTTTATTTCCTCATAAAATACATAATAGGTTCTTGTGAACAATTTTCACCCCACTGTGCTATGTAACACTCAGAGCTTACTCCTCTGTCACTGCAGCAGCCAGTTTGCCTCAATTCTTTTCCACTAATGCATTACAGTTCAGTTACATGAAAGTAGGAATAGCAAAGCAAAGTTTATTAAAGCACATTCCAAGAGACAAATAAACCAATCAAGAGAAAACATGGCACCTTTTTTTCTAGTTTCAGACTTTATCCCTAAAGTATGAAGGAGGTTGACTGGCTGTGATGGTCACAATTTTTGATTGACAAATGGGAGTTGCATACCTTGAGCTCTCTGTGTATGCAGCTTCCATTTATGTATCTGGAATGCCCACCATGGAGAAGGGGGCAAAACTGCAATGTTAATTATATTATAATCATTGTATAATAAAAAAGGGTCATTCCAATGTCAAAATGTACATATGCCATAAACTTACTTTCTAGGTTTGGCTGAGTTCCCATTTTATCAGAACACTTCAATTGCAAGTTAAACCACAAAGTGGGTGGTCTTGGATGGGTCCTTGGTTTCACCTCTGGAGAAGGGTCTTGTGGTACCTCCCCAGTCATTCATGTCTCTGACACTTCTATGATTTGGTTCCCACTATCCAACTTCCCTCAGATTCCACTCCAACACTTCCCAGCCTCTCTTAATCACTATTTTATGTTCAGATCACATTTGTTAGCTTGCATATATGAAGCAGAACATGTGATACTTGTCCTTCTGTGTCTGACTAATTTCACTTAATATAGTGCATATGAGTGTAGTGTTGACAGAGCATGCTATGCTCCCCAAATTGAGCAGAAATTCTGAGAGTGAAAAATAAAGAAGCAAGTGCCATGTAAGATTAAAGAGGTTATTAGGGAAACATTCATAAAGAACTCCAGACCTAGGGCAGCAGACTTCTTCCATTTTCATTCATTTTGCTATAAATGTCAGTATTTCCTTCTTTTTTATGGCTAAATAATATTACTTTATGTGTGTATATCTATATTAGATTTCCTTTTTTCATTCATCTGTTTCTGGACACCTTGGTGGATTCCAAATCTTGGCTATTGTAAATAGTACTACAATAAATGTGGTAGTATTTTTTTAAACAATTTTATTTATTTATTTGAGAGGTAGAGTTACAGACAGTGAGAGGGAGAGACAGAGAGAAAAGTTTTCTGTCCACGGATCCACTCCCCAAGTGGCCACAATGGCTGGAGATGTGACGATCTCAAGCCAGGAGCCAGGTGCTTCTTCCCAGTCTCCCATGTGAGTACAGGGGCCCAAGCACTTGGGCCATTTTCTACTGCTTTCCCAGGCCACAGCAGAGAGCTGGATTGGAAGAGGAGCAGCCAGAACTAGAACCGGCGCCCACATGGGATGCCAGCGCCACAGGCAGAGGATTAACCTACTGCGCCACGGCACCGGCCCCTGTAGTTTTTTTTTTTTTTTAATTTATTTATTTATATGTGATGTATAGTTACAGACATAAAGACAGAGAGATAGAAAGGTCTTCCAACCACTGGTTCACTCCCCAAATGGCTGCAATGGCCAGAGCTGGGCTGAGCCGAAGCCAGGAGCCAGAAGCTTCTTCTGGGTCTCCATGATGGTACAGGATTCCAAGGCCTTGAGCCATCTTCTACTGCTTTCCCAGACCATGGCAGAGAGCTGGATCAGAAGAGGAGTAGCCGGGACTAGAACTGGCACCCATATGGGATGCTGTTACCACAAGTGGAGGCTTGGCCCATTATACCACAGTCCCAGTCTGTAAGTATTTCATTAACATAATGATTTCATTTCTACTGGAGATATATACCCAATAATGGAATTTTTGAATCACAAGAAAGTACTATTTCTAGAATTAAGTAATTTCCATACTGTTTTCCATACTGGCTGCAGGAATTTACCTTCCCACCAGCAGTGTATAAGCATTCCCCTTTCTCCACAGCCTGGTGAAAATTTGTTACTTTTTATTTTTTTGATTACAGTCATTCTAAAAGGGGTGACATGTTATCTCATTGGTATTTTTTTTTGACTTATTTATTTATCTGAAAGTCAGAGTTAAACAGAGAGAAGGAGAGGCAGAGAGAGAGAGTTCTTCCATCCATTGGTTCACTCCCAAACTGGCCACAACGGCTGGTGCTGTGCTGATCCGAAGCCAGGAGCTTCTTCTGGGTCTCCCATGTGGGTGCGGGGGCCCAAAGACCTGAAAGATCTTCCACAGCTTTCCCAGGCCACAGCAGAGAGCTGGATCAAAGTGGAGCAGCAGGGACTCAAACCGGCACCCATATGGAATGCCAGCACTGCAAATGGCAGCTTTACCCGCTATGCCACAGTGTGGCCCCCACATTGGTTTTTAATTTGAAATTCCCTAATGGCTAGTGAAATTGAGCATTTTTTTTTCTTGTGGGCTCTTTGTATTTCTTTGAGAATCATCTGTTCAAGTACTTTGCCCATTTCTTAACTGGATTCTATCTGTTGAGTTTATTGAGTTCCTTAAATATTTGGATATTAATATCTTTTGGAGGATGACTAACTTGCAAATATTTTCTCAAATTCTGTTAGTTGTCTCTTGGCTGTATTGATTTTTTTCTTTGCTGTGTGAAAGTTTCTTAAGTCCTATACAATGCCATTTGTCCAATTTTGCTTTTATTACCTGTACTTTGGAGTTTTATCCAAAAAAGTCTTTTTCTACCAAGCATGAAGTATTTCCCCTATGTTTTCTTCTAGCAATTTCAGTTTCAGAGTTTGTATTTAGGTCTTCGATCCATTTTCAATTGATTTTTATGGGATCTGTCTACAAAAAAAAAAAAAAAAAAAAAAAAATTTCCCTTGTCTGCTCTTGGCCTATGTTGAGTTTAGTATAAGTTGACATTTTGACATTTAGGCACATTATTTAAAGTACAAGACAACCAAAAGAAGATCTAGAAATGAAAATGTATATATAAACTCAAAAATCAGGAAGATGACCAACAGTATAATAAGGAGTAATAATAATAAATGAGATAAATGCCTCAACCATCATGCAAGAAGCCAACAGATACCGATGGAAGTTGATAGATTAAGAAGTTAAGGTAAAAGGCTAATAGAAATTATGGTAGTAATCAGCAAAACTTAAACAGAAATGATAAAAAGTGACTTACCTTTTTTTAAAGTTACAGAGAGAGGTCTTCCATCCTCTGGTTGACTCCCCAACTGGCTGCAACAGCAGGAGCTGAGCTGATTTGAAATCAGGAGCCAGGAGCTTCTTCTGGATCTGCCACGTGTGTGCAGGGTCCCAAGGAGTTGGGCCATCCTCTGCTGCTTTCCTAGGCACATTAGCAGGGAGGTGGATTGGAAGTGGAGCAGCCAGGACTTGAACCGGCACCCAAATGGGAAGGCAGCGCTGTAGGCCAGGGCTTCAACTCGCTGTGCCACAGCGCCACCCCCATGACTTAACTTTGATAAGTGGGACCAGAGAGAAATATTTGAATTGTGTCTTACAACTGCATGTATTACTTTTACAACCAAACAGCAAAATTTCTCATTTAAAGAAATAAATCTGTAAATATTCAAAATCAACAGCATGTGAGGAGACAGAAACAAGAGATCTGTGTAGTAGCTAACTTCAGCATCAAATGTTGGGTGTTATTCAGGAAAGATAAAACCGCTGTCATAGTTGGAGTCTAAGCATCATAGTATGATACTCTAAAAATATACTCTGTGAACCCTTGGAAAACCAGAGTCCCCTTCAGAAGGTCCACAAGATCAGAATGATTTTTACAATAATACTAACTCATGATTTGCCACAGTCATAGAACTGATAAATTCACCAATTGTACAAAAGCAATAACAGGCAAAACTGCTGGTGCTTCAACCTAAATTGAGGCAATGGAATCAGTCTTTACCAATACTCATAGTTATTATACTCTTTATCATCACATACTCATTTTTAAAGAGTCAGTATCACTTTAAAATGTCCTCGGTGAAGCACTAAAAATATTATATTTCCACCATTGAACACATGTCTTTTTTAATATTTTGAATGACAAAATGTAAAGCACGCCTAAAAAAACCTCTGCTTCATACCGAAGTGGGTGGTTGTCTCAAGGAAAAGCACTTGAGCAACTATTTGAGTTGCAAGTTAGACTAGCCACTTTATTCCTGGAACATCACTTTTACTTGAAAGAATGACAGGAAACTATATTCAGACTTGAATAACTGTCAGAAATTCTCTTGACAATGAACAAAGTGAAGCTGTCACTTCAAAGAAAACAATTGACAGCATTTGTTATCAATCATAAAATATCAGCTTTCAAGTGAAAGTTAAAATTTTGTGGCACTCATAACTGTTACCATAGGCTTGACAGCATACATGAATATAAAGATCTGTCCGATGTGATTGGTGGTAATATTAACAAAAGTAATTTCCTAATATGATATATAGTGAAAAGTGTCAACATTTAGGAAATCTGTACAACTTACTAAACCAATATTTTCCAAATGACCAACACCTGAGGTCACAAAACCATTATATATGGTACAATCATTGTAATGGTATAATATTAATTGTTAGGCAAGGTAAATCAGTAGATTTTAATGAATAAAAGTATTGAGAGTTCCTTGGTTTGGTTTCAAATTTCACATTGCAAATATCATTTCAAAAAATAGCATTTTCTGAGCCCTAGTGTATCAAAGAAAAATATCCACAGTTACCTGAAAAACTAAATATATGCTTCCATTTCCCTAATATATATGAGTGCGAGGCCATAGTTTTATTACATTCTTTAACAAAAGCAATATATCAAAATAAGTTGAGTTCAGAAATAGATTTCAGAATGTGATTCTCTTCTATTAAGCCAAACACTAAAGAGAGTTTTAAAAATATAATACAATGATACCCCTTCATTTTATTTTGGAAAATATATTTATTTTTCACTAAAACTATAACCTTGTTATGGGTTTTGCTTTTGCTATTTTTAAATTAGCTTTTTAAATTTCTAAATTTTAATTCCTAATTTAAAAAAAAAAAAAACTACCTCTCCCCTCCACCACATTACCATTCTACTCACAGACTGGAAGTTGTTTGGAGATGAAGGAATACTGGCTAGAGAGAAGAAAGAAAAACATACATTTGAGTTTCTTCTCCCCTTCTCTTCCTCTTTGGAGTCAAGTTGAGCCCTGAAAATGAAACTATGAGAGATCTCCTTCAACACTGAGGATCAAACAGTAGAGATTGCGGTTTCCTACTTCCCAATCAAGGCTTTGCAAATCAGCAACTTCCTCCGTGTTCTCTTCCCACTAATAGTGTGGATTCCCCATCACCAAATAGTAGAAATAGTACGTGGCATCCCTTAACATAAATGGCCTGAGATTGCACAGATTCCACAGTGACTCAAGAATTTATAAAGGTTTCCATTCTCCAGAGAAGTCTCAGAAATCACTTAGAACAGGATTGTAGAAGAAAAAGGGACCTGAAAGGTGGCATCATGAGGGCACTTAAAAACTTGCACAAACATAACTATTAGCCAGAAGAGGAGCTCAGACCAAGGAAGTTAGAGGACATTTACCAAGGACCAAATCTGATGAAGTTCATTCAGTGCCAGCAGAGTACAGATGGTGGCAGAGGCCCAAATGTGACCTTCCAATCTCATATCTGTTGCCATGACCACCTTGAGAAGAAAGAGAAGTTCCTAATTTTAAATTCGACTAGATTTTCTAAGAGACTTAGAAATCCTTGATGTATGAAACATCTTATATGGGAACAGTTATTGCAAACTAAAATGCTACATTACTGTACAAATTATGAAATTTATACCTACTACATAAGCATCATCTCCCCAGGTCCATATAGCAACAATGGAGACTTAGGGGGAAAAGGGCAAACAACCAGGGCAAAGGTTAGTGATAGACTCTCCTGATAGGC